GCGCCCGGCGCGCTCCCATTGGCCAGCCCGCACGCACGCGCGCTGCCATTGGCCTCCGCGCCGCCGAGTTAGGTTGACGGAGCAAACCCCGCCCGGGACTTGAGATGCGCGGCGTGGGGGGGGGGGCGCACTTGCGATCCGGAAGTGGGCGGAGGCTGCGCGCGAAGTCTCCTGGGAGTTGTAGTTTTACAGCTCGCTCGTGGTCCCACAGGTCTTCTCCCTCGTTCTGGGTCTGGCTCGGCTTTTTCTAAGACGTCCCTGGAGGACCTCGCTATAACGAGGCCACCGAACTCCTGGCCACCTCCGCCGGGTCTCAACCTACAGGTTTTTATTTACTTATTTTTTGAGGTCACGCCATGATCTCATAATACAGGCTGACTTTGAACATGCAGCAATCCTGTCTCAGCTCCCCAAATTCCTGGGAAGGCAGGCGTGAAGTTCTTGTTGCTTTAAGTAGAGCTAACGTGGATTTAAGTAAAAAGCCGGGCAGTTTGAAAGCCAGGTGGTGGCGGCGGCGGCGCACACCTTTAATCTCATATTCTCTTAGATGTCCTGTTCATGACAGAACTTTTGATAAAAACTTTTGCTAGGGGAGCTGTCTGGCCAGCCTAATTTCATGAGACAAGGTTTCTCTGTGTAGCTCTGGCTGTCCTGGAACTCATGCTGTAGCCCAGGCTGGCCTGGAACTCATAGAACCGCCTGCCTCCGCCTCCCAATACTGTTATTAAACATGTGCTCTGCGCCCACCACCTGGCTTTCAAACTTGAATTTTCATATATGGTCTCTGAAGTAGCTACTAAATTTGAAATGACAGCTCACTATATTAAAAACCAAAACCAAAGCCAAAACCTTGTGCTTTTGTGGTGTGTGTGTGTGTACGCGCATATGCACGCAAGGCCTGGCACTGTGTCTTCACGGCTCTCCAGCTTACTTATTGATCTGTTTATTACATTTTATTTTAACTGTGTGTGCATGATAAATGTGTGGACAGCAGAGGACAACTCTGAGGAGCAGGTTTTCTCTGTCCACCTTCACATGGGTTCTAGAGTCAACTCAGGTCCCCAGGTTAGACCAGCAAGCCCTTTACCTGCTGAGCCATCTCACTGGCCCTCCTTTATCATGTAGCCCAGGCTGGCCCTACCTTGCTATGTAAGCTGAGGATGATCTTGATCTGATCGCCCTGCCTCTGAAAGGCTGGAACTGCAGGTGTGCACCCCCAGGATTTATGGGGTACTTGGGAGGGAACTTGGGGCCTCTCCATGCATGCAACCATCTACCGACTAAGCTACAGCCTCAGTCTTCCATTCATGTTTTGTGATGGGGTCTCTCACTGAGCCTGGAGCTGGACCCAGGGTCTGCCTGCCTCTGACTCCCTAGTGCTGGGGTCACAGACGTGTCTGGCCTTTTGTGGGTACAGGGATCTAAACTCAGCTCAAGTTGCCCCGAAAATACTTTACTCACTGAACCTGTACTGTGTAGTTTATGTCAACTGGACACAAGCTAGAATCCTCAGAGTGGGGAGCCTCAATTGAGAAAACCCTTCCATAAAATGGGGCTGGAGGCAAGCCTGTGAAGCCTTTTCTTTTCCTTTCTTTCTTTCCTTTTTTTTGGACAGGGTTTCTCTATCTAGTGCTGCCTGTCCTGGAACTCGCTTTGTAGACCAGGTTGGCCTCGAACTCAGAGATCTGCCTGCTCCTGAGTTCTGTGATTAAAGGTGTGTGCCACTCCCACCCAGCTGGATGTTTTCTTAATTACTGATTGATGAAGAGGGCCCATTGTGGGCAGTGCCATCCCTGGGCTGGTGGTCCTGGATGCTGTAAGAAAGTAGGCTGAGCAAGCTAAGAGGAGCAAGCCAGTAAGCAGCACCCCTCCATGGCCTCTGCATCAGCTCCTCCTCCAGGTTCCTGCCCTGCATGAGTTCCTGTCCTGACTTCCTTCAGTGATGAACAGTGACGTGGAAGTGTGAGCCAAATAAACCCTTTCTCCCCAACTTGCTTTTTGGTCATGGTGTTTATCACAGCAATAGAAACCCTGACTAAGACAGAGCCTTTTTCCCACTCTTTAAAAAGTCAGGGTCTCAGGGCTGGCGAGGTACATCAGTGGTTTAGAGTACCTGGTGCCCTTCCAGATGACTTAGGTTACAATCTCAGCACCCACATGGTCTGTGGCCATTTTATTGGTTTCTGATGATGGGGAGGGCTCAGTCCATGGTGGGTGGTGCCATCTCTGGGCTGGTGGTCCCGGGTCCTATAATAAAGCAGGCTGAGCAAGCCAGAGGAGCAAGCCAGTAAGCAGCACCCCTCCATGGCCTCTGCATCAGCTCCTGCCTCGAGGACCCTGCCTGACATTCTTCAGCCATGGACTGTGAGCTGTGATGGGATTGCTTTTGGTAGAAATCAAACTAAGTCACAAGTAAAATGCATACACAAAATAAAAGATAAGAAAATCTAAAATTAAAAAATGTGAGAGTGGGTGGTCTTGAACTCCTCACCCTCTGGCCCTCCATTGCATGCTTGCTGGGACAGATGTGCAACATCAGTCAGATCTAGCTCAGTCTGACTCCAACACCAAGGTTTTAGTTCTACCTGAGGGGTCCCAATTCCGGCTTCTTCCACCTATGTGGGTACTCACCCCTAACCAATCTCTCCTGCAGACTCAGCCCCTTCCCCGAGGAAGCCTTCCCCGATTGCTCTGTTGTCGGAGCCAAGTCAGCGTGTATCCTCTTTCAGGGTCCTGTGGCCACTACGATTCCACTTTCAGATCTGATTCCCGTGTGTCCCAACTGCCCGGCTCTAAATCCACGTAACCCACCAGACAGAGTCTGGGGGCCGGAGACACGCTCAGCATGTAAAGGCGTTTGCGGATGCACACAGTAAAAGGACAATCGGTGGCTTCCAGTCCGGACATCAGGCCAAACAGAAGCCAGCACTCTGTGTGGGGACAAGGATCCTGGGGGCTTAGGCCTTGCCCGCCTCACAGCAGAGGCCCCAGATCCCTGACCCCCGAAACAGAACTGTAAGGACACACGCAGCGCGCCTAGAAACGTGAAGTTTATTAGCGGCTGGAATCGCCGCGGGCGCTGCGATGTTCCAAGGAGCCCGGCTGGCAAAGACGCCTTCAGAAACCGCTGAGACACCGCGGGAGGGAGGGAGGGGGCGCCACCGCCGTGGACCGGGGGGCGCGGGGACCCCGGGACTCTGCAAGTTCTGAATTCTTCAGACTCCAAAAGCCTCCGAAGGGACGGGCCCCCAACTTCGCGCCCTCGGGCCGTTCCCCGCGGGCGCCCGACGCCGACCTCAGTGGCTCAGGGACTTGCGGCCCTTCAGCATGCGGCGGAGGATGACCTGCACGC